AAAGAGCAATAAAAAGGTCCCATCAGTATAATTTAAAGTGATTTATTTCAAATTGAATGTAAAAAATACAACACCATACATTGCTTTACATGTCATATTTTACACTTTTACCTGTCAATTGCAATTTTGAGTTCAAAACTTGAAATGCAACAGTAAACCTTTGGCTTATGTTTCAGACACAAACTCTTCAACACATGTAATAATCAACCAACATTTACAACACTATCAAACAACTATCAAAACTGTCTACATTTTGGAAATAGTAGCAATGACAATAATTACAAACAGGAACAACTCAGAATAACTGGCTCTGTATGACAGCTTAACTTTTGGTATCGGAGCTCACTTTTTCTTTTTCATCATTGTCTATAGTGATCTTAAGATCCTTTGATCTCTCAAAGTCAGAGGGCATGTCAAAGAAAAGTTCATCATCAAAGCAGTCCTCATCAGACGGGGACGCCATGAAGGGTAGCTTCATGACAAAGCCAGTGATCAACCCGCCTACTGTTGACGCTGCAATGGTGGAGAAGATAGCTGCTAGCTGATATAGAGCTTGTATCTGCGCTGTACGACCAAGGCCAGGTTTCAATCCTGGGATCAGATCCTGCAGCTCCAGCAGCTTTGGATCTCCCAAAGGTGGAGCACGGTGGGAGAAGATCTGGTACATGCTGGGCCCGTAGGTTTCTTCCGTGGCTAGAAGGATGGCACAGATCCCTGCGGTAGATGATATAAGGCCGGTGAGCCCATGGAGGTTATGAATACCACACTGGTCTTGGATCTTCAGCTTGTGGGCCATGAAAGGGGTCAGGTATTTGTAGCCAAAGAAACAGGCAGTGCAGCCCATGATGCCCAGAGCATATGCAGCTGCGGGAGAAATCATCATGTCCACAGAAGCTCCAACTGTCACACCACCCGCCAAAGTCACGTTCTGAATATCGGCCATTGTGAGCTTGCCTCTCTTGTTGAACACTGCAGAGAGTGCAAAGGCAGTCATAGTGGATGAGCTTAGACCGATAAAGGTGTGGAGGACTGCTCTGTGTTGATCATCACCCTTTAAGGTCAGTGCAGAGTTGAACGAAGGCCAGAACACCCAAAGGAACAGTGTCCCCAAAACACAGAGGATGTCAGACTGGTAACTAGTAATCTCATTAGGATGTCCCTTGTTCAGGCTGGGACGGTACAGGACAAACGTGACCCCTAGTCCAAAATAGCAGGCAAACAAGTGAATGAGAATAGACCCCCCTGCATCATTGATCCTGATGTATTTTAACACAGCCCACTCTGTCACAGCAAAGAACGGTACCTCTAGCAGAGCCATGACGAGCAGCTGAACTGGACTGGTCTTCCCGATCACAGCTCCAAAAGAGATGAGGACCACAGCGCAGGCAAACTCTGCATTCAGCAGGTTAACCACTCCCAGATGGATTTTACCACCACTGTAGAACTGGAAGAATCCTTGAATCAGGATGGCCCACTGGATTGCAAATGTAGCAGTGAGAAAGTTGAAGACCATCCCACTGAAACCATAGAATCGAAAGAATGCCAGCAAGCAGCCGAAACCCACGAAGATCATCACCTGCACATCTGCAAAGAAGGGATAGTCTCTATACAGGGAGTTCTCCATTGGGTTGGTCTGGTTGTTTTGGAACTTGGCATTTGCATTGTCATCATAAGTGACAAACAAAGCAAAAAGAGTTAAAATGACAACCTCCAGCACCAGAACCAGCACTGGCAGGCGCACTCTCAGACTTGTTGACGCTCTCATGGTGATCACAGCTCAAGTTTGCTCCCTTGCTGCAGCAACACCATCTTTTATACCTCCATTTCATCAGATAAGAGCCACTAATGGCATTGGGTAAGGCGCATAACCCGGCACAGGTCAGAACACTGTTATTTAACACCTCATCACACAAGTACTGACTGTACTTTTATTCTTCAGGTTCCTCAAAATATATGGATTTCATACACAAAGATGTCAACGTTGTCCATCTCGACTCATCAAAAGTGAGACCTTCATAAAAATATACTTGTTACATGCTAGTCAATATTATTCATTGATTATACACAAGGGGAACAGTGGACAGTTATGATCTTTATTGCCATGCATTAACCTTCAATCATTTACCTGAAATAAGAGAGAGCCATCTCCGTCCACTTGGCCTTATCATTAATACATTTCTACAACCCTTACTGATAAGGAATAGGCATATGATAGCAGTTTTTATATCATGGGTTAAATCAGAACAGTTGACAAGTTTATGTGTCTGAAGACAATATTTCCAGAGGCTGGAAGCATTTATACTCACACTGGATTTCCTGAGGTAAGACGTGACATAAATAAACAACGCAAAAGTAGCGGCCGTAGCAACAGAGTCCGCTACACGACGTTATAATGAGAATATTTTCTTTTATATCAATGCTATGTGTAATCCAATGGAATGACAACATCCACAAAAGAGAGGAGAACAACATACTGACGAACAGAAAACATAATGCAGCCGTGTAATGACGTGCACGGAGATCGTAGTGGTCGCTTGCAGACACTTTAGGCAGTCACTATATAAACGTCACTCTCTTTCTATTGGCTCGAGTTGAAATCTCCGGAGTCTATGCTGCCGCGTTCAGACATCAGCTCACTCGGATTTTCTGCGGATAAAATACTAGGGGTCTGGCCGGAGAAACTCCGGGTAAAGTCTACGTGACAAATGCGGCTGTTTCTGTTCACATCCGGAGATCACAAATCTCCGGAGTTTTTCAGGAGATTTCTATATGTGTGAAAAGGGTTTTAGAGAGTTCACATGTTTTGTTTTCAGGAGGGGACCTGATTTTCTTCTTTTCTTTTTTCAAGGAGTGAAATAAGCACAAAATCATATTCACTGCTTAGACTGCTTGGTGAGTACGAGGCATTTTGTCTCATGATCATCAAGCGAATTTTCGCAAGTAACAGAAAAATAAAGGCATCTGACTCAGTGTGCAAGGTTTCTGTGTGTAACGTTTTTTCAGACACAGTGTTATGATGTGTTCAAGGTCTGTCTGCTACATGACTATTAGACAAAGGTAAATAAAAAACATCATGATGTGTTCAAACTGCATGACTTCCCTACAATTTGTGTAATTTGAAAAAAAAAGAAGTCAATAACCTAATGTTGAATAATAGTGGGATACGCACTCTACCTTGAGGTGTCCCATTCTCAACTTCATATACACTGAAGTATTCTGTACCTACTCTTACTTGATTTTTTCTGCAAACTGAAAAACACATAATTCAATTATAAGTTTTCCCACTTGTCCTCAAAGATGTCAATTTAATGAGTAGTCGATCTTTCCACAGCACATAATAAACCTTCTCTACATCAAAAAAGACAAGTTCCTTATTTGTTTGTGCTTTTCTTATGTTTAATACTAAACATAGGCCTTACACTGATATAGCACTCCTTTCTCTACGGAATCTACTTTGCTATGGAGATAAAATAAAAATAAAAAATCTAAATAATAAGTAAATCTATCTGTAATTCTTTTCATGATTTGACATAAGTGAGAAGTTTAGGTAATGGATCTAGCTTGACAGATCTGAAGCGCCTTTCCCTGGGTAAAAAAAACAGGTCTTTCCATGCCGCCCGGGACCTAGGTTTCATCATTGATGACCAGCTACATTTAAGATTCAAGTGGCCATGAAAGCCTGGTCATGTCCATTTGCGCTGTACAACATCAGGAAAATCAGACCTTACCTGTCAGAGCATGCTACACAGCTCCTGCATGGTACCAGCTCTTGTGATATCATGCATTGACTATTGGAACTCCTTACTAACAGGTCTTTCTTCAAGCACACATAAAACCCTGCAGATGATCCTAAGCGCAGCAGCTCAACTGGTCTTTAACCTACCCAAAACAGCATGTCACTCCGCTGTTCATATCCCCACGAGCTCCCAGTTACTGCTCGGATCTAGTTTAAAACCCTGATGCTTGCTTACAGTGACTTAAACGGCTCCTCTTTACCTAAACTCTTGTCCAGGTCCACACTCCCAACCTTCACTCTGTCACCCCCGTGGTGGAACGAACAACTAAACTCCACTCGATCTGCAGAGTCCCTTTGCACCTTTAAGAAAAAGTTCAAGACCCAGCTCTTTTATGAACACCTACACACTATTAGATAAGAAAGCTGCAGGGAAACTTGTTTACCACCTGGTCACTTTATACATACAAAAAACAATGTTGACAGTTCAATTACAATACACAACAAATAAATAAATAAATAACAAGGCCAGCTGGCAGAGTCATATGGGGGCGGCGCCTCGATTAAATTCATTAGAACTCTCAAGAACAGCTGTCGACAGTTCGATTGGACTATTATTATGGAAATGTACACAGTTACACCAGGTGTTTAAGATGGCATTCAAGATATCAGTGGCATGCTACGATTTTAAAAATGCATTTTGTTTAGAGCAATAATGGGCAAAAGCAACACTTGGTCTTACAAGGTAGAGGTTCAACATTCTTGATGTAGGCTATGTAAACAATATTTAGCCTAAACAATAAATTAACAAACTTTAAAAAAAAAAAAAAACACTTTAAAATATTCGAACTAAACAAGCTTTACAAATCAAGCAAATTTACAGATTTTGATGTCTGATTTTTCTTTGGTGTTATCTTTTCTATTTATTTTGATATGTTTTTGTTAAGTTTTGTTCCTTTGTTTATTAAGTCATGCTTAGTCGGTAATATATTTTGTACCTTACCTGTCCTGTTACAAATACATGTGGAAAAAGTAGGCTTTACCATGAAGAATACCACACCTTCAGAGCTGCTGCTCAGCTCCTCTGCTCAATTAAGAGAGTGTGTTCAATAAAAAAAAGAAACCTATGAGATGTATTTATTTATTAACAAAAGAGTTTATAACTGTGTTCGTGGTATGGATGACTTTAACATAATAAGACCATGAATGAGACAGAAAGTCCACTCCGCGCCGCTCTCTCCGCGCAGCACTTCTCCAACAAGCTCCCATGATGCTTTGCACTGCCAACGTATGCAAACATGAACATGGCTACCGGTGTGTGACATCAACAGTCCGTCGTTTTAATACACATTTGTCGGCGTTACAAAGTCTGTGAACGTAAATGTTCAAGCCTCTGCCGCAGCCAAAGAAACCTTCGTAGAGTTTACCGGCGGAGCCAGCAGACCCTCTGAAACCAGCGTTTCATTCCCTTCAATCACAGACAGGTAACGAGTCAGCCGGCTAGCTCCACAGCTAGCATTAGCATAGTCATTAAACGATAGATGCTAAATAATGTCCTTTAAAAAAATAATAGTTTTGTGAGTTGTCGTATGAAATAAGGTTTGAACAATTTTCTGAAGACTCACACCGCAATGTCACCTTAATGTGTTTTACATTTAGTGTTAAATGAAGTTGTAATCCCGTGTTTGACATCTGTAGCTGGGCTTGACACGACTGCAGTTTTGTGTGGTAACCTGAATTACTTAACATGAGTAATTGAGTTTCCTCTGGAGACACAGGTCATCATGACAGGACAGACATTTTAGACATGTTGAACTAATTATTACAAACGTATAGGCCTTGGTTTTTAATCAATTTTGATACACTGAAGAATATGTTATAAATGTAACCAGGAAGCAGCCTTGCTCTGGATGAAAACAACAGAGAACATTCCTGGTGTAAAGACTGAATCTTGGCAGTGAACAGAGACTTCTCTTTGCTGACATCTCTCTGTGTAACCTAAATGTCTCTGGATTTGTAAAGAAGGCCTCCCTGTGAAAACATCACACCTGTCTGAGACTGCACCTTGATACAGAGGTTGTACTGTATATTGTACTGATCCAGTGATGTTTGGATAATGATGTTAATAAAAGTAACACTTGATATTGATATGATAGAAATTTTAATGAGCAAGCGTTGGATTATTTAAATACGATATAATTTGATGTGGGTCAAACAAAGTTAGTTATTTGAACATGCAACCATGGCCCTTTGCAAAATGGTGATGTGATTTTTCTTTTCACTCTTTTCACAATTTTTTTTCAGATATTTTAAGTTCATCCTATACAATTTAAAAGTATACTACCTTTTTTATTGTTTCAATCACCTAAAAATCTAAATGAAGACCAGTACTTCTGGAGTAGCTTAAATTAAAGCAAACAGTCAATCACTGCCATTGTAATTTAAGTGAAAGTGAATCTTAGACCAAGGTAGCCATACATCCAATATTTCACTTCTTTTAACAAAGGTAGAGTCATAGCAGAAAATCATCTGTAGAGTATCGTTTGTCCCTTTTGTGCTCCTATCAATATTTACATTGACAGTCCGCCTTTTTTAATGCATGGCATTCCACAGGCGATGGCTTTCTCGGCCAAACAGCAGAATAGGGCTGGGCTTTTAATGAAGTTTCAATTTCAATTATAATTTTAGCTTCCCACATTCAGGAAAATAAGATAATCTACATTTAACAATGACTGTGCTGCAATGTTGCACTGATGATCATAGGTATCATATGGACATCATTACTACCAGAAAAACATAGTGGGTTTATTTATATTTCTTTATTATTATGTATTACTGACTGCTTGTTTATTAAAGTTTTCAGAATGTTAAAGTGTTAAGAGTTTGATCAATGCATGTGATGCAGATGTTGTGAAATCAATGAGTGATCATGTTTAATAATCGTGATCTCAATGTCCATCAAAATAGTTGTGATATGGATTTTTGCCATAATTGAGCAGCCCTACAGCAGACTAGTCACGTGATGAAAGCTGGCCTCTTTTTTCTGTTTTTGAGATTTAAGAAGCATGTGCTTTCATTTCAAGTCAATATACAAGCATTAGAAGGATGTCTCGCTGACTGTGTCAATCCTGCCCCTCAGTGTGTGTGTGTGTGTGTGTGTGTGTGTGTGTGTGTGTGTATGCCCAGAGGCTGAGCTAAGAGGAAAATAAATTCGAGCAAAATAGTTGAAGGAAAGAGGAAGAATTGCATTGCACAGAGAGGGCTCACTGTCATTATGGGCTGCTTCAGAAAACACCGGAAAACACTGGTGGCAGCAACATGACGCCTGCACAGTAAGCATTAAAAAGTTTTACCAAAACTCTACGCAGATGTGTATGGGCTTAATAATATAAGAAATAATAAACAAATCAGTGAATTATCTTTTTCCATCACATTACATCTGTCTGGGTAAAATGATAAGGGGATGATTATTCTCAAAGAATTATCTTCTGCTCCTAAATAATACAGGAGATCAACTGATGCCTCTTCAACCTGCAGAGGATCATTCATAGAAGACAGCTGTCACACTGTTTGTCACTAATAACAGAGACATGCTGTTCCTTAACATCAGTGATATCCCAGAGTCAGTGTAGTGGCAATGTTCTTAAATGTGTTACTGTTAAATGTCACTTAGATAGTAGGAGTCAATCGGTTGCTTATTCAAATTAAATGTCACAGACTCAACTCATAATCACAGATCTATTGACTTCTGTTTTCTGTTTATTTCAGTTGAGAGAGTCTAAAGTTTCCGTGACGGTATCCAAACTTAATATCTACACAAAGAACTTTAAACACGATCAAAAAAACTCTGTCCAACTTCACAACAGACAGAAGAGATAACATTTTATCACTTGTGCATCCCGCCCTCTATAACTGCTAAACTCCATAACCAAAATATTTGCCAAATATATGTACAAATAAATCAGTTAATTGGCAGAATTGGCAATACAAGTTTCTCCTTTTAAATGAAATAGTTCCAAATTATTAGTTCTAATTATCTCTATTATATGTTTTACTGGCGTTTATGGAAATCACTCAATTTAACCCATCAGTGTTTTTGTGTGTGATAGAAAAGCCCCAATGTACCACAAGACCAACATACAAGTAATGATGCATTGGATCACAAATCTCACGGATCTGATCATAGATTTTTGTCACGGATCGGATTGTTTTTTATGGATAGACAAAAAAAACAACAAATGATATTACTTTTCTCCTCCTCCGCTGACCATTTACAGCACTAAAAATCAAAATGCATCTCCTCAATTGTCTTCACCATAGGCTACACATTGCTACAGTTCTATAATCCTAATAAGAATAATACAAGCACTTCCATAAACCTGAACTCCCTTGTTATTTAGAAAGTGCTTTTAAAAATCAGAGTACAATTTATTGTAATCTGAAAATCAGCTTCATTACAATAGCAGTATTTGTTACCCCCCCCCCCCCATCAGGGACAGTAACTTTACAAAAAAAAAAGATTGTACATCTTCTGTGAATAAAGAGTTTGCATGGATTTGCAGAAACACATTCTGTGTGTCATATAAGCTTTGAAAATGTTGAACAAGTAACACATGAAGACACATAACACATGTTATGTCTGAAGATACAGCTGCAGCACATGCTGTGTCTTCAGACATAACAAAGAAGGTGCGGGGGCTAGGGGTTGTATCTTCAGTTTTTGGACTGAGCACAGTGTTCTGTACAGAGTTTGTTTGTCTAAAGTTTGCAACTACGGACTACAGCTGGCTGTTGTGTTACTGATGATACATTTCTGTCTGTTGTCATCCGTAGCCACCAGTTGATACCTGCATGATAAATACAGACTCAGTGAGATGAAAAGGAGAAAAGGCGAAGCAGCGTTTGAACCAAGGAAACTACAATGAAACTTTACAACATGTTTCTGTGTGAAGTCCCACATAGCCTTTTCTCAACCTCTCATCACATGGGCTTTAAAGACAAGTCCTTGAAATTATAATTATACAGCCATTTTTTGTGACCTATAAAACAGGGTTAATACATGCTGTATAACAATGATTTTTTTGAAAGTTTTGTTAGCAGTAACTGGCAGTGACATCCAGTGTCATTCAGGGGGTTTTATAAAGCAGTTTTTTGTGACTGGGTGCAGCCTGCCGCTTTCATGCAATTGCAAGACAAGACACAGTTCATCACTTACGAGCCTGCTGTCTGAGTAGAACGTCCAAGTTTCTTCTAACAAATCATCCAAAGAGTTTTTTCTCAACACTGCAGCTTTTGAAGAAAATGGAGCAAATTCATGAATTGAAACTGAATCCTGTTAATATGAAAAAGAACACATCTCACATGTATTTTAGGTTGGACTCTTGAAGAGATAGTCCACTTAGAGATGGTGCTTTCAGCGTTGGAAAAGTGTTTGCATATTGATCTTATTTTCTTCAACTTTAGGCCCCCCCATCAATATGTAACTTGGCAACATAAATGTAATGAAAGAGTGTTAACCCACCCCCCAGAACATTTCTGAAGAGGTCTTTGTTAATATGTTCTTGCTTTGATAACTTAATGTTGTACTAAAGATGATCCTCTACAATCATTTTTCAGTTTGGGTCAACATGGCGAGTCCAAGGACCAGACGAGTTCTAAAGGAAGTGAGAACCCAAGAGGAGAACAATGTAAGTCTATAGCAGCTATCCCATGAGGCTACGTTTTTTTGTTTTCATAGATATAGTGTCACCTCACTGGTACCTCAAAATTCAAATGATAAGTAGCGGGTGATTGGAGGACTTTGTATTTAGCAGCTTTCCACTTTCACGAGAATTCTCTGCTTTTATCCGTGTTCCCCTTACGGTGAGAGTCATTTTAGCTTTGAAATTCCCTGCCAGTGGATATCTTGTTGGCCTGACTCTTTGGCAGTAACTTTAGGACAGATATAATGGCTGCCAACCTAAAAATAAGCCGATTATATAAATGAATATACAATTATGTTTAACAAATTAAATGATATACTTGAAGTAAAAAACACAAGTCTATATATTGTCTTTACATTCAAAAGTCTCAAAATGCATCTCTGCTAAATTAATTTTACAGATTGATAAATGAAATGCAATGCACTTTTGTGTTTTTTTCAGCTATGTTTTGAGTGTGGAGCTTTTAATCCCCAATGGGTCAGTGTCACCTATGGGATCTGGATTTGTCTGGAGTGCTCTGGCAAGCACAGGGGCCTGGGAGTCCATCTCAGGTAGGTAAAAAAAAGACCAGAAGAAGCCGCACACATACACGAAAAATCATGAACTGAAGAGAGAAGCCAAATAAAGCAGGACTGTTATTGGCTGCCTTCTCTTGGAGGCGGACTAAGGCAGGCTCATGGTCCCAGCAGTGAAGGCCACAGTCACAGATTGGATGAGTTTGGTCGTTACATGTGGTGTTCCTTCTGGTCATTTTCACTCTGCACTTCAATTTATTTAAATATTCTTAGTGGATGACATTGATGGCTGCATACTGTATGTGTTATTTGTGTGTTTATACTGTTTTTGTAAGAACATGATAAGATGAATGAGTTCACAGTGCTTTCATATGAACACATCTTCTGATGTTAAGTCAACTTCAGTGCATGCAAACATGTATTGATGCTGTGCTCTGCATCTGCCTCTAGTTTTGTGCGCTCTGTCTCCATGGACAAGTGGAAAGATATAGAGCTTGAGAAGATGAAAGCGGGAGGAAATGGAAAATTCCGACAGTTTCTTGAGCTCCAAGATGATTACGATCCCAGCTTGAACCTACAGGATAAATACAACGGCAAAGCGGCTGCTCTCTTTAGAGACCAGGTGTGATGTGCAGATTCTCTATTTTTAATGTTGAAACTATAAAACCTAAGTTTAGTTTCTAATCATAACATAATATTTCAAAAAGGACTTGCACAGCATTGTCTGATACTTCTGTGAGATTTCTAACTTATTTAGCAACTTTTATCTTTTTTATGTACCTGACAGGTGGCAACTTTAGCAGAGGGTAAGGAGTGGTCCATTGAAACATCCCCTGCCAGAAACTGGACATCTCCTCAACCTAAGACCAGCCTTTCATCCTCTCACCGGTAAAAGTGAAGGATATTTAACTTACTCCAGCTGGATGTATTGTCAGATATCAGGACAGACATTTAAGCAGTGAATTCAATGTTTATGTTTTAAAGCTCTGGAGGACCCGGACAAAACTCAGCAAAATCCGGAGACAAAGCTTTCGAAGACTGGCTGAGTGATGATGTTAACTCCTATCAGAGGTAAGAGCCCAGCACCTTTTCAAAGAACATGTAGGCCCTTCTTCTGCTGTATCTTTTTTTTTTTTTTTTTCTTTTTAAATAGCTGTTTATTAAAATATTTTTTAAATCATCTTCAGTGGAGGGGGCTACAGTGGGAATCAAGAGAATCGGTATGTTGGATTTGGCAACACAGTGACTCCAGAGAAAAAAGAAGATGACTTTGTGAACAATGCCATGTCTTCAATTTATTCAGTAGGTCACTTTATGTTACTTTGATTCCTGAATTGTAATTTAATTTCTACCTGTCCTCCCCTGTGACAGTGTTTTTTTTTCTTCTTCTGTGGCAGGGTTGGAGCAGTTTTACTGTTGGCGCTAGCAAGTTTGCTTCTATTGCAAAAGATAATGTAAGTGTATGCTAGCAAAAGATGCTGTGTTATGTCTGTTCTGTGCTTGAGCCAGTACTACTGAATAAAATAATGACTCTTATGTTTTAATCTCCTCTTGTTTCCATCCTTCAGACAAGTAAACTGGCTAACCAAGCAACCTTAAAGGTAAGATAGCGGTTGGTAACCTGTTACCAGCACTGCTTATAAAGCGGTATGATGTGTGTGTATAAAGAGTTTTGAGTAGTACCTCTTAATTAAGAAAGTGATCATGCAGAGTGTGTACTTTTGGATATCTCTAAAAATGAAATGTAAACTTGAATCTGTAATAACTGTGTTACTACTTCAATATCTCTTTGCCTTCTGTGGATGTAGTTAAGGGGCTATAAAGCACCCCCAGAACCGGTAAAGCAGATAATAGGTGCATGGCGCTTTTTCTGCATCATGTTTTTATTTCTTTATTATTTAACACATAACCTATTATGTTATTTTTATTCAGCTTGTCAGTTTTTTTTTCTGCAAAGTTAAAAGGGCTAAATTTGTGAATACACATGCTTCTGCTTGGATGCATTAACACAAAGCAACATGTGTTTTTTTTTTGGTATGTGCACTTTGAGTTCCTGCTTAACTTATGAATGTCAGTTTGTTTGTTACTGTATTGTGGTTTGGGAATGATTGGTTCTCCATTCATCGGTGGCAGCTTTTGTATTGCCTGTTAACAGAGCTCTAGAGGTGTTATGGTTTGTAAAAAAAATAAACAGCATGCTATTTGGCATCATCCTAAATCTATAATGAAATATTTCAACTGTCCTTAAGCATAACCTGATGATGCCAGTTTGTTGAACCATTAAACCCTCTAGTGCTCTTTCAGTGTCATGGTGAATGGGAATGATCAGCCACCTCATGCTACTCTGCAGAACAAGCAGCTCAGTGTCTTGCTCTACTGTGAATGTTAAACTGTGTTTCATTCAAGTGAATTCTCCCCTCTGACTCCCAACTAGGCCACAGAGTTAGGACAGACATTAAATGAGAATGTTATCAAACCCACTCAAGAAAAGGTAACATTGATGTTTGAAGTTGTCTATTTGGTGGTGGAATAGAGCGCTTTAGAGACAAAATAACAGCTTCAGATGTGAATGTGCTATTTTCTACACTGCTTGTCTGTGCCACTTTATCTGCTTTATGCCAGCTTACATTAAATGACAAACGCTGTGTTTGAAGCATGCGGAACAGAAATCAAAGCTTTGTTAAACTCTCAGTGAGTAACTCAGCTGTGGGATTTGCAGATGCTAACAGCTCTGGACTGTTTATTTGGGATCAGGTGTGTTAACTTCAGTCAAGTCACTGGATAAGGCTTGGGACACATATCTCAGTATCTTAACATTTAAGGTATCCTACCTCAGCTGAAAACATTCAGGTTTCACCGACTACATGATTAATTTATGAAACATGTTACCAGCAGTTAAACTAGAATTGGAGGCCGTCTTCACATGTTAAGCCCCATTTATACCAAAAGGTCTAAAAAGTCACAGGGACACACTAAATGGTTCGTGTGGCCCATAGTTGACATCAATTCCACCACTGCCTGAAGTCCTGGGATGATTATCCAAATCAGGCTGAATTGATTAATGGAGTGTAGATCATTGATTAGATTTGCATCAAATTTCTAATCCCAATTTGAATCCTACATTAAAATCACCTTCAGAACTCAGCCATAAATGGCTACATGCATTAGGAAATCTTTATTAGATGTTGTATTTTCCCATTCATCAATATTCAATTCTTATTTTTAGTCAACTTGTCTGATCTAAGCAAAAAGATAACACACCATCGTATTGGTTTCTAACCAGTTTGATTTATTGCAAAGTTCTGTAAACATTATATGTACTGACCTAGAAAGCTTCAATGAGCAGTCAGTTGCTCACTGCCTTTGCAGATTTAATCTCTGAGTATTCATTCATAAATCTTTCGACATAAGTCCTCTTATACTTATTGTCAGTTAAACAGCTCCTTGATGTGACTTTGAAGTTCCCCTGTGTAACTGTAAAAAAACACGATGTGCAATAATAAAAATACAGGAAGATAAAACAAGAGTTAAAATAAGATGTAGTCACCCTGCTCTGTAGTGGTTAACTCTGTATGCTGGACTGATCGGACGTGCAAAGCCCAGTGACTGAAACTCTGCTTCTGAACAAAAGTTTTAGTCTTTTAATGTAGAGTTGGCATTTGGTGATTTCAGGTGTTAATAGTATGTGCTTCTGTAACAATCTCTTACTCTCTTGCAAAATGTTTAACTGCTTTACTTTGAACTGTTTTCCTCTTGATGAATAATCTTTAGCTGGACTCAGTTACTAAATTCTTTCTCATGTTGATAATCAACAACCTTGACAAAATGCAAAATTGCTTTCCTCGTAATCAAAACCAAATTGTCACATATTTAATGTTTTTTGTAAGGACATTGTTTTTTACAAGTTTGTAATAATGATTTGGCTCATCCAGGTGAAAGATGGCAAATTGCTAGATGAAATGGCCATCAGCATGTCTGGGCTGGCAAACAAGGTAGGATGGGCAGACATCTGCCACACTGTACACATGCAAAACCAGCCTCTGGAGGCAGGAAGGGCCAAAAAATGTCCACATCATTCCTGGGTCTCTTAGTCTACAGGCTGCATTGTAACCTCAAAGGAGGCTGGTTTTGCTGTGGTAATGAATGTTTGAACAATACTAACTTAATGTGATCTCTATTTTTCTTGCTGCCATTTTTAATCTGGTGGTGAGTACTCAGTAGTCAGCCTGTCTGATGTCTAGTGTCAGCAGATAGTCATTTGAGTGCATTTTTCTTATAACAACCTCTATTGCTAAAATTAATATTACAGCCTGACGTTTTGTGGATTGATTAAAGTTATTTTGATTATTAATTCGTATTTTTCTGTCAGATTTAGTTTTCTTATAAAGGTATGATTCTTTATTTTCACAAGGGCATGATTCTTTAGCACTGTAAGTGACAACTCATCATTTTGTCATCTAAAAATGTTCTCTCTTAGGTTCAGGGAGCCGGAGCAAAATTGACAAATCTCTTCTCTGGAAAAGCGGAAGATGGGTAATAAAAACAACTTAATGCCGTTTAAATCTCCCACTTGTAAAATCTTTTGTCTGATCTGATTTAATTATTTAACACATGAGCTGTTCAAGGATTTCTTATGGATATTTCTGTGCTCAGATCTGCTGGAGATAGCTATCAGAACATGGATGCTTCTGAGGGATATCAGGGCAGTTCTAGCCAGCCTGTTGCAAAGGACTTCTGGGAAACCTTTGGCAGCAACACCTCCTTAAAGGCAAAGAAATCACCCAGCAGTGACAGCTGGACCATCGCAGATAACTCTGCAAAGAAGAGTTCTGACAGTTGGGACAATTGGGGCTCTGAAGCAGCGTCCAACAACAAAAACAGCACAGGGGAGAGCTGGGAGGCCTGGGACAACAACTGGGATAACGCAGATGCTAAGACGAAGAAGAGTCCCACAAAACCTGCCGAGGAAACCTGGGATAATGCAGACTGGTAGTGACCTCACAAACCATACATCTCCTCACCTGTTTCCTGCTCTGGCATTTCCCCTCCACCTCTCTCTCTCTCTCTCTCTCTCTCTCTCTCTCTCTCTCGCTCTCTTCATCTCACTGGCACTTTCAAGGGAAAGTGCTGCATCAGTTTGTCTCCATCCAAAATGTATTTATAAAAAAAGAAAGAAAAAACTAAGGAATCCCAGGCAAAGGTAGAGCTAATTATAAAATGAATACTCTTAAAATGTCCAACATGGCATCTATTTTATTGTAAGTCACCCTCTTCACAAAGAATCATGATAAATCTGAGTAGATCAGGTCATTAAGTAGTACTTCCTTGTCACCATAAATATACTACTGATGTTGGAGAATAAGCCTGTGTTCGTCTTGTATCATGGGTTCAATGACACTGGTTTTAAATTCCCATCATAATATGATGCATGTAAGAGAAGAGAGGACATTGTAAATATAAACCCTTGTAGATACATTGTGATTGACTGAATACTAACATTATCTTCTGGGTTCAATTAAATCAGTGGACCCTTTGGCTACCTTTAATTACAATATGTTTGGAAACACAATTAAATAAATAACCTATAGTTCAACTTTGCTATTTTCATTTTTGGAATACAAATGTGCATATAGTCAAGGAGTTGATGATAAATATTAAAAGTTAGAGAATTTATTTTCCAAATTTATCACAAATCCCCCCCCCCCCAGTCTATTATGCACATGCTGACTTCAAAGTTTAACTCCAAATGGATGCGTTTAGGTAAAATCAAGAAGCTGCTAAAACCCTCATTCACACTAAAAAAGCTAAAAGGTACAGGCATTCTTTTAAGGAGATCTTAGAAATCATGTTTTTTCTGTTATGCAACTCCTTAGAAACTTCTAGCCATTCATGACATTGCTTTTTTTTACTTCATGGCTGAATATAAACTAAAGTTATCTTAATGAGCTGTATAAATGGAAAATGATCAAGCTATATGTCCCAGACTTTGAACAGTTCCCACGCATTCAATTCAAATAAGTCAGTGTCAGGATACCGGCCAAGTTTGTTATTGATTGACTGGGGGATAGGAGGGATTTAACACATGTTTTTCTATCATTATTTCCATGACCCTTTAAAGCTGGGTGATTATACATGAATTGAAACATGGTGCAGGTAAACTGTCAAATTCGAGTTCACACGGTCACGATCATTTATGCTTTCAAACAAGCTCACATTGTTCCATACATTTTGACAAACCTGCATCCTCTCATTGTGACAGTAAACAGTTAGCACTGGGTCATTATGAAAGACACATCAGCAATTGTTTCCTCCATAGTTTTATAATTGTATTTTCATGATGGAACATTTGAAATATTTTCATGAATTCTTTGTTATTGCACCTTTGTCATCGCATATTGTGAGGCGTTGGTGTCACACATCTTCACACTCATATGAGCATCTTTGTAGTGAAGAATACATGAGGTTTATAATATGCTGGACACTTAAATGGTCAGTGCTGTCAAACACTTTTTTAATTGATCTGATCTACATAGTGCATCCCCCAGTTTCATGAAACAGCAGCTGGACTATTAAACATGAAATCACTGTTGATGTTAAGGACTGGGACAATGTTGCAGCAGCGACTTTCCCTTTGTGGCCTTCATTTCTGTGTAACATGAGGTGTTTTGACTTTATCATTTTTATTAATCCCCCATTAGAGGAAATGAACGTGTTACAACAGCTCAAAAAAGACAGCAACAATAATATTTATGATAATGATAAAAACAAACAACCACCAGAAGTCTTTCTAACAATTCAAACCCCTTCAACTTAAACTAAACACACTTGAAACAATTCCAACTCCAGACATAGGTTTATATTAGTGTACATTTGTTTAGCTACAGACTAATATCAAACACATACAACGGTTAGGCGTGCAACGGATCACAGATCATTTTTTGGATTATCAAGAAGATATTTTTAATATCACTTTTCTACTTCTCACTAAAACACGACTGTAACTGTGCATTTTAAGGCAAAATGAATCCGACTTTTTTGTGTTGAAATTCACCACAACAATATTTAAGAGGACACAGGACTGTCTTCACATTTGTATAACGGATCTACATGCACTACATTAAGTTTTCTTTTCACTGTGACTCTACACAGGGAGTAATAGGCAGTTCAATTATTTGCATTACATGCATTCAGAACAGATCACAGATCAACTGGGATCCGTTGCACCTCTAATGCTTGGTGTGCATCTGAGACTTTGAGGCTTGGTATCTGTTATCATTGGCCAGTAGCCCACTATAGCTGCTCATAGAGCAGTGGAAGAGTGCAATACAACTGCTGGGTTTATGTTTGTTATTACTGTGTTATGACACTTTTGTTGTGATTCTATAAGGATTTCTCATCGGGCCTCATGATTGGTTTATATACCATCAAAGATTATATCACATGTGAAGGATACAATTTATTCCATATCCACTTCCTACCTCTAAGAAGTGTTCAGTTTACTGCAGTGGTTTTTTTTTTAAACTCTGAGCATCCTTTTTGACCTAGACTTAATATCAGGAGGTTTGATTTGACTTTGCTAAAAGAAGTGTTTAAGCAAAGCCACAAAGAAGAGTTTTCATTGTTATTATGTTTTCATTTCAAACAAGATTTAAAATAAAGAGATAACTTCTGGAACGTTTGTGTTGCTGTTCCCTGCAGTCATGTGCTCATGTGTGGTGGTATGTTACAAACTTTAAACAGCTGTGATTGCTGTCTGCTGATACTGATGTCAATGTGCCTGTGTGTCTCTGATGCAGTGGGGTGTACATGTCATTCACTGTCACAGATCAGTTCAAATGTTTTATTGTTGCCCATACCTTCTCTGTATCCCTGAAGCTTTATGACATTTTTTTGTACGACTGGAATACTTTGGGGGGGAAATATTTGAACAGCCCGGCTTTGTCTGTTTCCTGTAAAATGTTAACCCACCACTTATTGGTGAAAGACCTGTTGGGATTACTGATACACTCGATTCATGGAATAACTGCACAATGTAATATTGATGGACTTGTATCCCATTGGTTCTAATGTAAGGTGAATACATTTTTTAGAAATCCAATGTTATTTACCTGTAATTCTGAACTTAAACTTTCCAGAGCAGCAGTTGAGCTCAGTGTCTGTGCCTGTCAAACATTTCAGATTGGGGTATGTTGTGTTTGTTGCTCAGACTATTGTGTCAGAAATACTATTTTTGATTTCATGCATGAGCTGTGACGTGGTGCTTAAAAACATTCAGCTGGTGTTTAATTTGTTAAAGCTGTTTCCTCCAGTGAATTTGAGTGCAGTTGTCTGCTTTCCCCTTCAATTTCACCAGCAGCCATCACATGAGGTGAGCCAGTGTTACCTATTCAGCTGAGGTTGTGGATGTTTTCCTGTACAAATGGTTTCTGTGTTGAATAAAAATGTATTGTGTTGTGGATGCAATGGAATTTACTTACTGCCATATGTGTTGCTATTTGTTTATCCTAATCAGGGGAATAAAGGGGTGGGGTTATTTTCAAATACCTATACAGAACAAATAATATATAAAGAGGACAAATAAAAAAAATAAAAAAACCTTTCTCCAAGGTCTTAGACAGAAGGATTATTCAAGGTTTGCCTGCTTCCATAAATATGTTTGGCTTTGAGATTCTGCAGCAGCTTGTTCAAAAGGGAAAGTTAACAAAGTATTGTTGTTTTTTTTTTTTTTCAGCAGTCGAAAAATATAAAGAGCAAGAGATGCTTTGGGTTGAGTTACTTTACTTGATTCTCCTCTAAATGTAAAAATGATAACAATGCAGTTCTTTTACAGATAGATGCATAGTACACTTGAACTGTTGTCAACTAACATTGACCCTTGAGTCAGTGGATGATCTGAGCTAAGCTACATGTCGGGAGATTTGTAGAGCATCATTTTATTTGGAGGCTCTCAGATTTGGTTTGTTTTTCACTGATATTCACATCTTTGGGGCTTCGCCTGATTTTGTCTTGAGTGATGCGAAGCAAATTGAAAGAAAAATAATATAAACTAATTAAATAATACAATTCCCTTCATGAATAACTAATGAATCCTGCATGTAGTTAGTTTTTTAATTAAAAACAAATCATTAGTTATAATGCCTGTCAAAACTCTTTCTCAGGAATTAGGTACATAAGGAACAGTACTGTCGCAACATCCCCACAGTACCAGCCTATTTTGGGGGGGGGGGGGGGGGGGGGAGTCAGTTTGAGTGAACACTAATGATGGAGATGAAGGGCCTGCCTCATTAGCAGCCGGTGAAATTTACACTATGTCCCGCCCACAAGGCGTGGAATCGTGTCTCTCTTTCCCAGAAACTATTCGACTGCAAAGGAAGAGAGGGGGATACCGAGAGCATCATCGATGGCCCAGTTACAGGGTGAGTAACACTGAGCATCGACACTAGCAGCTAGTTAAGGAGCTTTCAGATCAATTATATACAACCCTACCCTGAAAGTAGAATCAGCGAGAACACTGAACAGCTGCCGAGAGACAGGCTGCATCATGACTGCAATGGAGGAGCAGACAGAGACTTGGCTGGATCACTGAATAACACTGGCCACCTTCAGATTGATGGCGTGTATTGGGGTGTCATAGTGAGTCTGCTCTTAAGTCACTTTAAGACAGATGTCATTGTCAGCTGCTGTTTAATATAGCCTACCGATTTTATCACGAGCGATAATTGATTTTGCTACAATGTTTCAAAATAAAGCTCTTCGCTTTCTGCTTGTTCCCTTTGATGATGATCGCCGAAGCCCAGCCTGGGCGATCACCTATTCAGGCCTTATACCTTCTTTTTTTTATTATTATTTTTTTAAATGAGGTTCAAATAAGCGTGTTGTGACCATAAACTGAGTGTAAATATCCAGACAGACTCTCCAGGCTTACGGTGGACTGTAAGATGATGGCTGACGGTCAGTCTTCTCACACGATGGCAGGCTGATGTTGTCGCATTTCTTTACGCTGAGTCTGTAAATTTGTCGCAAAAGGCTAAAACTACACAATGTATCATCTTCAGAGGTTAAAGACGAAACATGTTGAAGATATTTTTCCTCACACACACACACACACACACACGACACGGACCAGTCAATTCTTAACAAGCGTAACAAGAGGGGGCGCCACTCCGCATATTTAACAAGCTAACTAGCTATGAGAAAAGTTAAGACGCTTCCCATCTTTCATGTGTTAATGTTTCGTTTGAAGCAGCCTTGACAGCAGAGACCCAAACCACATTATTAAAGAAATAAAATGGCGTCAGAAACATCCGGGTCGTGGTGGAAAGTAGACGGTCGGGGACAGAAGAAATTGGGAGTGTTTGGAAAGAAAGCTCGAGCACCACAGCGTGGGATCTCTTCAGGCTCGAGCTCCTTTAGCAGTTGTTGCTACGCTACCACCACCACCGCGCGTGCAGTCTCATAACTGTTGCTAAGTGGACAAACCTCCCAGTAACCTACAGCAGCCCAATTCCCACTCACACACCAGTTAGATGAAAAAGAAAGGGGCACACCAGCTGTATGGAAAACCACCTGCAGAATGTATCTCTTATTTTATTATTTCTGGAATAGAAAAATAGAAGAACCCTTTTTATACAATATGAGTACAAGACAGGAAGGGCTTTGTAACAGCACATGCATTGATAGGTTATTGCAAACGTATCATAGGCCATGCATTATGCATGCATTGCACAAGATGTAGTGCTGTTCTAAATAACAGCACAGCTGATTTGGTTATAGGCATTAGGTTGAAAAACAGCCGTGCTGATATTCAGTACATCATCCCAGCCTCAAGTTTACATTCAATCAAATGGCACAACTCTATCTTCAAAGAAAAATCTTAGACATGTATAAAGGATTTTGAGGAGATATTTTATTCAAGACAGAGACTGAATTCCCTGATGGATAATGGTGGCAATAAGACGAGTCAAGTAATTAAGATTTAAGCAACTCACTGAAGGAAACAATGAAAATATTGTTTATAAGCAGAGTCAGACAGTCTTGTATCTAAAGAAGGTCTTGCAGCATGCTAACTTTTAACCTCAAGGACAGTTATTAGTCCCGTATTCTGAGAGCAGTGAGCCAGGGAATAGGCCTACAGATCAAAAGATCAGACAGTGAAAGGGCACTCATTTAGTTATCAGGAGTTCCTTAAAATCTAATCTGATGTGAATGGTGAGCCAGAGAGGGAAGCTAAGGTAATAAGTCCATGTGGTTCAATTGTTTAATTTTAGTTCGGACTCTGGCTGCAGCAAAATTAAGCACATCAAAACATTACAATATTAGATGACAAAAGATCTAAATTGGGGTCCATGAATCAGCCATGGACATAAGAGAGCTAATTTTAGCTAAAAAAAAACAGTCTACTTTGATTTATGTGCTGATCGAAAGAGAGGGTTGGATCAAAAGTTACACCAAGGTTATTGGCTGTCAAACTTTTTACAAAAACACCGTTGTCAAGAGTTACTATTAGTTGATCAAACTGGTGTCTTTATTAAGCAGCGCCAATGATCAGCATCCATTAATCAGAGGTCAGGAGCAGGATATTAACTCATCATTTAGAGCTGACTCCTTCACTCTGTCATGTCCTAAGAGAACACCTGGACAGAAAAGAGTATTGTTACATTGTTTTGCCATGCTGTGTACAGCGGTAGAGAGGAGACATGTGGCATACTACTTGCTGCATAAGTCTTGCATATGTTGTGCAAAGTTTTGCATAGATATTAGGGTTGGAAGTGATTAACTAAATAAGCTACCATTAACAAAATTACTGCAGTGAACATGTTGCAGGAGATACTTACTGGTCTGTAACTTAAACATGTTACCATGTATCTAGCTTCATTTGACTTATTTTTTTCATAGTGATGCATTAACAGCCATCTCTGCTTTTGATTTTGAACAACGATTTATGTGGCTTTCAAGATGTATCTTCTTCATTAATATGTGTCGTTGTACCTGGCTCCCGGGCAGTGTTATTGTTATGGCTCTGTGGCTGCTTGAGATTGACAAAAGAAAAATACGTTTGTGCCCATTTCATTTTCCCCCAGTACAGAAGTTCTCTGAGAAGAACAGTTTCTTAGTTCTGCTCTCCGAGGGTGAATTCACAGAAAGGATAAATGGGAAGTTAACAAATAAATGGAAGGATTTCAAAACTTTGCAGGAGCACAACTTTAATACTTTCAAAATAGCTCACCACAAAGTGTACAGAAAAAAAATGTGTTGATTAAAACAGAACTGCTCAACCCCTTTATTGTATACTTTTTTTAATTTCATTTTACCACAATCTGCTCTTGCAAGTTTAACCTTTTTTTTAAGCTTCTGTGATATTTCAAAATGAACTCATGCAGGATACATTATTAAAGTACAATTAAAGTACAATCATAGTTTGCAGTTCAAAAGATGCTCTATAATCTATAAGACTTGTAGATGATAAATTATGAACATCAACATGCTGAACAATACTCATCTCTATAAAGAACAGACAATGTGTTATGTGATCCATAACAACTTCTATATTACACTGCCTAACATTTTAAGATTTATTTTGGGCTTTTCGTGCCTTTAATGCAGAGATAGGACAGTGGATAGAGTCGGAAACCAGGGAGAGAGAGCGGGGAATGACATGCGGAGGGGGGCCACGGGTGGAAGTGAACCTGGGCTTACCGCTTGAGACGAGAATCTCAACACATGGGACGCGCGCCCTAACCGTTGCGCCACCAGCGGGCCCCACTGCCTAACATTTTAGTGAACTCCGAAACCAAATGAGTCAGTGATGAGGTTCAGATTAGTCTCAGAATTTGTGGAAAACATTCAGGTTATTTTTTATTTTTTGGAATAAGTACAAACTTTTTAGCAACACAGACTCAGAGTTCACACATTATGCCATGTGATCGACAGTCGGCGTGAGGATGTGGAGGCGGTGCAGGCTCTTTATCAGATGGCTTCTTGCTTGAATCTGAATCTAATTGGCAGTTTTCACTCGCTATCATTTTCAGAATCCACCTTAATTTGTTTAAACTGTAGTTAATCACATATATCCTTCATGCTATGCTAGTCAGCTCTATAATTTGTGACTAATTAGTGAAAACATTTCCATGCAACAACCCTGTGATTCAAAGTTGTTGAGATGAAAGGAGACAGGCGTGTTTATTATTAAGAGCACCACAGATTAAATTTTCATTCCAATTCTGAGACTGTTCATGATGAGGTTTGATAGCAAAATGTTTTTTTATAAAAGGAGAGATCATCAAAAAGCTGCTGCTGATATAAACTCAGAGCCAACATATTTATAGAAGCAGACAAACATTCAGTCTTTGAGCTGCAGTGCTGCTTGTACTCCATCACTTTTTAATCTCCAGGGAAGATGACTTTTGGTTCATGCTGGTTTCATGATGGCTTTTTTGTTCAACCCACCAACAGCTTGTTAATGATTAAGATCT